TCCCGTTCCTGTCCCGGTCCTGTCCCGTTCCCCCGGCTCACCCCGCGCCCCGCAGCGCTGCCTGCACCGGATCCATCAGGCGCTGCAGCACTACCGGGACCTGCTGGGCTCCGACATCTTCCGCGAGCAGCCCCAGCCGCAGCTGGAGACCACCATGGAGGAGCTGCTGCAGCACGTCCAGGTCAGGGGCCGGGGGCTTCGGGAGGCCGGGGGGAGCCCCTTTCCACCGCGCGGGGGGCACGGGAGCCCCTCGGTCCCCATCCCTGACCGTCCCCGGGGACACCGGAGCCACTCGGTCGCCCCTGACCGCTCTGTCCCCTCTGACCGGGGGGCACTGGAGCCACTCGGCGTCCCCCCCCGACCGCTCTGTCCCCATCCCTGACCGTCCCCGGGGACACCGGAGCCACTCGGTCGCCCCCCTGACCGCTCTGTCCCCATCCCTGACCGTCCCCGGGGGACACCGGAGCCCCTCGGCCACCCTCGACCGTGCTGTCCCCATCCCTGACCGTCCCCGGGGTGACACCGGAGCCACTCGGTCGCCCCCCTGACCGCGCTGTCCCCATCCCTGACCATCCCCGGGGGACACCGGAGCCACTCGGTCGCCCCCCTGACCGCTCTGTCACCATCCCTGACCGTCCCCGGGGGACACCGGAGTCCCTCGGTCACCCCTGACCGCTCTGTCCCCATCCCTGACCGTCCCCGGGGACACCGGAGCCCCTCGGTCACCCCCTGACCGCGCTGTCCCCATCCCTGACCGTCTCCGGGGGACACCGGAGCCACTCGGTCACCCCCTGACCGCTCTGTCCCCACAGGAGGGGCGCGGTCGCCCTCCCCGGCCCCCCATGGTCGCCACCGAGGTTTGGGCGCAGCAGTTGCAGCGGCACCTGGCCCTGAAGCGGCTCCGCTCCTTCGCCGCCGTCATGAGCAGAGTGTTCAACCACAGCGCCCGCTGAGCACGGGGGGACCGGGGGGACCGGATCCGGACCGGAGAGGCTTCGGACCGGACAGGCTGGGGACCGGAGAGGCTTCGGACCGGACAGGCTGGGGACCGGCACCGCTCGGAACCGGCACCGCTCGGGACCGGACAGGCTGGGGACCGGCACCGCTCGGAACCGGCACTGCTCCGGATCGGCACCGCTCCCCACCGACCCCGCTCGGGACCGGCACCGATCCGGGCCGGACAGGCTGGGGACCGGAGAGACCTCGGACCGGACAGGATTCGGACCGGCCCCACTCGAGACCGGGATCGCTCGGAACCGACCCCGTTCGGGACCGGCATCGCTCCCTCCCGGCATCGCGCCCCGTCGGAACCGTTCGGGACTGGAATCACTCGGGACCGGCACGGCTCCCCACCGGCCCCGCTCGGAACCGGTCCCGCTCCGGACCCGCACCGCGCCCCATCGGAACCGCTCGAGACCGGCACGGCTCGGAACCGGGACCGCTCCGGACCGGCACCGCTCCTCCACCGGCACCGCGCCCCGTCGGAACC